GGTGGGACAGAAGCCACGAAAAGGCATTTATCTCTCAGATCAACTGTTAAACTCCTCCGTGAGACTACTTCCCAAAACCTCATTCTGTGTCATCCATCCTCTTCCTCCTCATCGTGAGGCTGTTACATGTGTTATATAAGAAAAGAGGACATTCTTTGACTCCACGTGCTCGACTCTAGTTGAGTTCACTTAGGAAACATGAGTAATAGTTATCCTAACACTTAATTATTCTTTCCTGTTCTGGCCCTAAGGATAACTTTGACTAAACTGTGGATCCCTAACGTGGCCACACCGGGTTATGGTATAAACCTCGCATGTCTACTATAATTCCGGAGAATAAGCCAGATAATATGTGCCAACTTTACAAAGGGAACTGTGTGTAAAAGAAGATGAACACCAGACCAAACCCACTGCCATCAAGTTGGTTCCGACCCGGTGAGCCCATGGGATACCATAGAACTACTCCACAGGGTTTTCAAGGCTGTAATTCTCCAGAGAATCAGAGAGCCTCATCTTACTCCCAGGGAGTGGTCCATTGCGCCTCTAGGGCTCCTTAAAGTCGGTCCAAAGCATTAAGGAAATATTTATCTTGATCCATCTGTGGAGTTAGCACCGAAAGTAAGAGACTCATTACTGGTTAGAGTGGGTTGCACACTAAGTGACTAGTGGTTTATTTAAGTTGAAGTAGTATTGGTTATGTTTGTCATTGTTAAGCCCTAGCTCATAGCAACATTGTATAGGATTTCCAAGTGGCTGGTGGGTTTGAACTGCTAACCTTGTGGTTCACAGTCCGGTGCTTATCTTACAACGTTACACCAGCATTGGTTATGCTTTATTGTTTGCCGTTGAACCAGTTCCAATTCATAGTGACTCTGCATGGCATTTTCAAGGAGCAGCTAGTGGGTTTGCGCTGCCAGCCTTGTGGCTAGCAGTCTAGTGCTGTTCCTACAGCACCACACCAGGATTCCTAGTATTGGTTATGGTAACTATTAAAAATTGGAAGCACTAAACGAACAGACTTAACATTTTAAGATTTTACGTATGTATTGGTGTGACACTGTAGGATCAGCACTGGATGGCTAACCACAGGTTGGTGGTTCAGACCCACCAGCCTCTCCTTGGAAATCCTGTACTGGGTTGCTATGAATCAAAACTGAGTTGACAGTGCTGAACAATAGTAACAAGGAGTTCTAGTAATGTAGTGTTTACAAGTCGGGCTGTTACCCTCAAGGTCAGCAGTTCAAAACTACCAGCCGTTCCATGGGAGAAAGATGAGACTTTCTGCTCCCGTAAAGATTTACAGCCTCTGAAAAGAGATACTTGCAAATCCCCAACTCTGATCATGTGATGTGGTTCAGTCCTGACAGTTGTCTGCTAGCTACTGTGTCAGTGGGTTAATTGACTTTTAGTTCAGCTGCTTGTTCTAAACGGAAAGCACCTGAGGTTATGATTTTACATCACAGACACAAGTGGTCCGAATTTCACATAAAAAATCCATGTATGAAACATGCATGGCATATGTTTTGGGTTTATATTGAATTCATTCATTGACTGGTGTTCATTTCCTTTGTCAGGAAAGTGGAATGTGGAAACAATAGTTAAAGGATAATTGTATTTTGAAATCCTCCTTATTTGCAATTGCCAGTCTTGAGAACTCGGCTGTGTCTTAAATTAGAAATAAATTTTTTGTGCCTATAAAACCTACAATACAAAGGAGATTTGTTATTAAATCTCTTTAGTACAGTAGAAAGTTATTTTTTTCTTAACTTCTCTTCCTTAAGACTGAAAAATCATTTTTTAAAAAAGAAAGAAAAAGATCTCCCTGAGAACATGCATGGTCCCTGGTGAGCATCTCATGGTCTTCTAGAAACTGGCGCCAAAACCTGAAACTTTGTAAAACTTGAACCCACTTAGACATTTATTCCAACATTTATTTTTTTCTCTCATAGAAGGATTTTCCAATAACAATATTTAACAAAAGCCAGCCATTCATCTTCTTTAAAGCATAAATAGCCACTGCTAAATGGCCATGTTTTTCTGACATTTTACTTGTGTTTCAATGACAGTGAAAGAATTGGCTGTCCTGAGACTTGTAACCTGTAATGAAACAAAGCCAGGCTTGAAATTTAATTTGTTTCTTTGGGAAAAAGATTCTGAATCCTCTTAAAATTAAATGATGTTAGTACATAGGGAGAGCTTGGCTCTTGGTGACAGTTCAAACCTCTTTGGCATCCTCTAAAGGAGTCCTGGTGTGACACTGTGGGTTAATGCGTCAGACTGCAAAGTTATTTGAACTGCAAGTTCAGTGGTTCAAGCTCACCAGCTCCTCCTTGGAAACCCTATACAGGGTCGCTATAGGTCGGCACCGACTTGCCGGCACTTCACAACAACAACAAAGGTAGCTTACCATGGAACGAAATGAGTGTTAAGTGTCCTCTAGGTCTGGATACTTTGCTAGTAGTTTTGGAATACTGCAATCACAGAATTAACTCATTTTTAAATTGTTTCATTAACTTTAGGCAGTAGGATTCTAACGGCTAGGTGTGATCTAACGTGGGGGGTGGGGGCGGAGAAAGGGGAGCGCATCCATTCTAAGATACATTAAAAAAAAAAAAAAAAAGTCTGCTGAAATGTAGAGAGGCATTTAGATTTTTCTTCCTTTTTTAACCAGAATTTATCTTCAACTTGTTGATCTTCCAGTGAGGGAAAGTTATACCACGCATTTTAACCGTGTCACTCTGGTGTTAGGCTTTTGACTCTGTGGTTTTTTGGGCATCAAAGTCGGTGTGAAATACCAAAATAGCTGATGAGATGGTTGGCATCTGTAATTAAGACTAAAGTCAATTCGGCAGGGTTTAGGAACATAATCAAAACATTTCATAAATGTTACAATTGATGACTTCTGTGCTTCTGGGATATTGTTTGGATTATTAACGCTAACTATTCTCAAATATGAGAGGGTTTCAGAACACTCAGGGAAGGGAATGAAGATGTAATGTAATCTTAATGAATCATGGACCGCCTGAGCATCAGTCTCCATGACTCTCAGACCAGAAGCATTGGACGATGCTTGGCTACCACGACCCATGGTTCTGAAAGAGACCCTTCAGAGACCCCATTAGGAGGTCCTACTCATAATAGGAGAAAATGTGGAAGAAAACTCAAATGTGTAAAAAAGACAGGGCTTACTGGTCAGAGAGAGACGAGAGGCACCCATGACTGTGGCCCATAGCCACCCTTCATGTCTGCAACAGAGCTCACCCTTGTGGCCCGATTTTCAGCCAAGCAGTAGCTCTGTAGATTGGTGCATAGGGGAGACACATTAGTGAATTATGCTAGTGTTGGGGGAGTATGGCCTAGCCATGTGGCGTTTCTATTCACCCATTGGTGGTGGTGGTGTGCCACCGAGTCGATTCCAACTCACAGTGACCCTGTAGAGGTAGGGTTTCCAAGAGTGTAAATCTTTATAGAAGCTGAAAGTCTCATCTTTCTCCTGCAGAGCTACGGGTAGCTTCAAACTACTAACCTTGCAGTTAGCAGCCCAGCTCACATTCCACTGCACTACCAGCTCCTTATTCCTCAATGAAGCAATATTTATAGAGGGACTAGTGGAAGCGCGGCATCGTCTTTCTTGCTGCTGATAGATAGCCCTTTGCTTTTTCAGGTCATTTATTTTAAGGAGGCAAAAAACCATTTGTTGTGTTCAAATTCAAATACTTGTAACCTGATTGATTCTGCTTGTTGGTTTAATGAACTTGAGAATTGTTTAGAGAAGTAACAGAGAAGAAGAAGAGATATTTTTTTTATCAGAAAGCTGATCTTAAGTCCAGACCGTAACCAGTACACACAAAATTTGACAGGCTTCCTTTAATAGTGATCGCTCTTTCCAGTACCTGGGTCCTTAAGGTCTGTTTAATGTAGGTAGGTAGCTAGTGAGAGAGACCTCATCAAAGCTAACAGAGCCTCCTGTGGTAGCTTCTTTGATTTGTATGATTCCAGTTTGAGATTTAGTCGTGGCTTTCTTTCTTTCTTTCTTTCTGCCTAAGTTACAAAGCAGCTATTTGTTTTTCACACGGTGGTACTGTCAGTAAAGCAGATCAACTTTGTCAGAATATATTCTTCAGATCATCTTTTGTCGCAAGAAATGGGGAAAAATGGTTAACCAGGAGATGAGCTTGTGGTCCTTAGGTTTGGGGAGAGTAAGACTAGCTGGGTAGCATCTGTTGTACAGTGGGTTTCCAGGAAATGGCAACACCTTACCACTAGAGGGCACCGTCTGGCTCTGTACTAAGTCCAGGTCACAGGCTCGGTAAGCACAAGGCTGAGAATCACAGGGTCAGTGGTTCGAGCCCACCAGCCTCTCCATCGGAAAAAAAGATGCGGCTTTCTGCTTCTGCAGTGATTTACAATTGGAAACCCTATACCAGGGCACTGTGAGTCAGAACCAACTTGACGGTTAACAACAACAGTGTGTGACAAGGGAGCCCAGGTGTGGCTCTGTAGGATAAGCACTGGACGTCCATGGTATCCTCAAGGTCGGTGGTTCAAACCCACCAGCCACTCTTGGTAACTATATACAGGGTCACTGTCAGTCGGAACCGACTCGATAGCACTTCATAGCTACAGCAGGTGCAACAAGGCAAAGAACCCTTAGAACCATGTGTAGTTTTGATCACTCTTACAACCATCTTGGGCTTTTTTTTTTTTCCCCTCTCCTACCAAATTAACAATCCTTCTGACCATTTTTCTGTGTAACACTTAGTATAGTGTAATCTCATTTTGCTGCAAGACAGACTCTTAACAGTTGTCTTTATTGAGGGACGTGTGTTACCCCACCATCTGAGTCTCAGACATCAGACTGTATTTTGCTCCTGTCTCATTTCTGGTAGCCTTCAGAAGAAAACAACGAAGTCGTTCACTTACAGTTTGGTCTGGTTTTGCTTTGTTGTCTATGTTTACGGCCACTGGTTTCACAGACATGTCTCTGCCTTGCCCACCAGTTTACGTCAGTGTCCCCAGCAGTTCCTGAGTTCTTGAAAACTTCTCCTGCGGATCTGCCCCCCACCAGGTCCACAGCTCCTGCCCTCTCTGCAAACACTGTGTCTTCAGCGAAGCCTGGGCCAACACTGGTAAAGGTGAGTACCCTGGGCACACAGGTGTGAGTACCTCCCCTCGTAAGCGTTGCCCATAGCCCTGTGAACCAGAAGCAGGTCTTCATGCATTCATCTACATCATCTAGCAGCCTGGAAAATCGAACACACAGGTGAACTTGTAGAACTCAGTGCTGTGTTTGAAACTGCTGCAGACAGCCTGTAGTGCTGTGTTGTTGTTGTGAAGTGCCATGGAGTCGGTTCCAACTCCATAGCGACCCTGAATAGGGTTTCCGAGGAACAGCTGATAAACTTGAACTGCCCACCTTGCAGTCCAGAGCATTAACCCACAGCGCTGAGAAATGCCACAGGCCTCGGTCTCAATAGAACCCCAGGAGCCGTGCACAAGGGCCTCCGGGATCACCTGGTCAGGAGTCCCCAGTGCCTCTACCACCCAGGCCCTACGATGAGCCAGGAGACAAGCAGAGTAGGACAGTTGGCTCAGCACCTGTTACTCCTGCGTCTCACAGACAGATGGGGACGTGGTGCTGGAGGTGGTACCAAGGTCACACGCCACAGTGTCCCACATATGATGATCAGACTCTCAGAGGAGCAATACACTTCCTGCTTGGACAGGTTTGGCTAGAGGAAGCTCTGTTTGTTCTTCAGATAAACATCACAGTTGTGGCTCTGTTTCCTTTAGTAGAAATAATTCACTTAGAATCATTCATTCCAGAGGAAGATTAACATTTTTGATACAGTAATGCTCAGCATAATGTCTGTTAGGGTAACGTGCAACCACATAGACGGCCGTAGTCCCCGCTCCCATGAAGCCTAGTAAATTAAAGCTTCAAGGTGCATCAGTGGCTCACAGTAATAACAAATGGATGCTACTTTGCAGTGTGCACCAAAGCCAGATTGTTGTTGTTATGAAGTGTCATTGGTTCTGTTCCAACTCATAGCGACTCTGTATGGGGTTTCCGAGGAGCAGCTGCCTGAATTTGGACTGCCAGGCTTGGGGTTCACAGTCCAGTGCTGACCCTGCAGCCCCACACCAGGCTTTCAGTGATGATCAGGGTGTATTATTAGGTTTAAGAACCCTAGTGGCATGGTGGTTAAGGCCTGTGGCTTAGGTTAAGACAATAGCTGCTAACTGAAAGGTCAGCCACTCCATGGAAGAGATGGAGCAGTCTGCTTGTGTCAAGATGTACAACTTGGGAACGTCTGTGATATCCAACTACTGGGCCGTTCTCCTCTGCCTTGTAGTTTTGCTATGAGTTGGAATCCACTTGGCAGCAGTGGTTTTGGTGTGGGAGGAGTGTAGTGCTGCTGTCTGGTAGTCACTGGCCTGCTAACTACAAGGTCCGCGGGAGAAAGATGAAGCTCTCTGCTCCCATAAAGATTTCCATCCTTACTAGACTGATAACTGCAAGGTGGGCAGTTCAAACCCACCAACCACTCCTCAGAAGCCCTGCTAACTGCAAGGTCAGTGGTTCAAATCCATAAGTCACTCCTCGGAAACCCTATACAGTGCTGCTATGAGTGGAAACTGACTCGACGGCACCTAACAACAACAAATAAAGGAGAGAAAACTAAACTGAGGAGTCATTTAATCGTTTCAGATCTTTTTTACCCAAACAAGAAGAACATGGAGCTTAAACTTTTAAAACTAAAAAGTTACATTGGAAAGCTAGGTAGCCCTCTCGTTCCCTCTCAGATGAGAAGATCAAGGCCCAGAGGAGGTTAGAAGTAACACCGTTTCTCCTCCTCCTCAGCTTATCTGAGAGAGCACTGTGCTGAGTCAGCGTGGTACACATACTGATGGCATAGCATCCGGCATCACAGCAGCTGGCAAGCCACCAGAGAGTGACAGACAGACAGACAGGTGGTGCTTCTTGTTAAGTGCCATCGAATCTGTTCCTACTCATAGCAACCCTGTATAGGGTCTCCAAGGAGCATCTTGTAGATTTGAACCACCGACCTTGCAGTTAGCAGTCCAGTGCTTATCTGCAGTGACACTCTGTTGTAGTTGTTGTTGTTAAGTGCCTTTGAGTCGGTTCTGACTCACAAAAACCCTGTCTAGGGTTTCTGAGGAGTGGCTAGTGGGTTTGAACCACCAACCTTGCAGTTCAAACCGACCTTGAAGCCCAGTGCATTATCCCAGAGCACCACAAAAGTAGGTAAACCAGTGAGGCAGACGATCAGGAAGGACCGAGAACTGAATGAGGAATATGTCGACTGGTGACAAGGAAAGCGAGGAGATGTTTCTGCTTTTAACAGGCTTGTCTGGTAAAGTAAGCGCCTGACATCTGGACAAAGGCCTGAAAAGAGGGAGGGAGGGAGCCAGGAGGACATCGGAGGAAAGAAAGCCTCTGAAGGAAGGCAGTGTGACTAAGCGGGGCGAAGAGTAAACTGAGGCCTGGGCCCGAGGTTTGGCTGCTCAGCATGAAGACAGGAAATAGCTGGGAGGCTTTGAGCTGACATGTGAACACCAGTAGGTGAGCAAGGGTACAAGCAGAGACCAGTTAGAAGGTGTAATCCGTGGTCAGGGAGGGTGGCAGCAGTCAAGGGAGTGAACTGTGGTTGGCTCCTGACTCTATTCTGCACGGCTTCAAAGTAGTTCAGAAGGCTCAGCCAATGACTGATGGAATATGCATTGCATAGCAACAAATCTCTTATGCATCAGAATTTGACCAGAATAGGAGCGCTATGGCGCTGTAGGATAAGCACTAGACTGAGAACCACACGATCAGCGGTTTGAGCCCACCAGCCGCTCTATTGGAGACCGATTAGGCTTTCTGCTCCTGCAGAGCTTTACAGCCTCGGAAACACAATACAGGGTCACTATGCGTCAGACGCCACAACACTTAATAGTCACAACAGGGAAACGGGCTACGGTGCTCCACTCACAGATGGCGGCCAACACACAGTCAAAGAAAGCCTTGCGATCAGCCTGCGTCTTTGAGTGAGGCACAGTTGCCTGTTTCCTGTTGTTGTTCATAGCCCTCAATCCTGTTTCCTTCTTGGGTGAAAATCTGAGAGAAATGGTTGCTTCGCAACATGCATGCAGAATCGGTTGTGATTGAGCTGGTTTGAACCAGTTTGAAGCCCTAATACTCCGAAGGTTAAGTCCACAGGATGTACTGACAGATTAGACATTGCGTGTGAAGAAGTTGTGAAGCAGTCGTGTGTATTTTGTCTGACTGACTAGAAATTGCCTTTTCCTGTGATGGGGAAGAGCATACCTAGAGTTTGAGATGCTTATTCGACATGTAGTGGAGTTGTCAAGACAGTAGGGTAGGTGAGTCCAGACTTCAGGAGAAAGGTCTATACTTGATAGATAAATGTAGAAATCATCAGTATGTCACAGAGACTGTAAAATGACTTGGGGACTAAGTATAAATAAAGAAGAGGCACAAGAGCTGACTCCTACAGCACTCCAACGTTTCGGGAAGATAGGAGGAGAAACAGCCAGGAAGGGTACAATGACCCAGAAGCCAAATGAAACCCTTCAAAAAGGAGAAAAGAACAGGAGAGCTGTGTTAAATGCTGCTGTGGACCAGTTAAGTCTTGCTAGACTGGGACCTGCCCTTGGGTTTAGCAACATGAGCGCTATGGTGACATGGACTAGAGCAGTTCTCCATCTCGGAGTGATGGAGGCCAGAGCTTGCAGGACTGGGCACCACATTCCAAGGGGAATCTGTATACAGTTCGCACTGAAAGCTTTCCTGAGGCCCTTTGCACGGGAAAGGGCACAGAGAAATGGATCAGTTCCTCAGTCGGGATGTGAGGTCAAGAAAGGAGGGGTGTGGGCCAAGAGGAATGGTCCAGGAGAAAGGAGGGCCGCTGGAGCTCTGGGATCTAGTGCAGGAGGGGATGTGCTGGCCCTGGACTGCAGCTCACACAGTCCATCCACAGAGCCAGCAAGGAGAGCCGCACGCAGAGTCTAGGTGCAGGCCTGGGCCAAGGCGGGAGCCCACGGCAGCTCTCTGCCGATCACTGTGAACATTCTGATGTTTTAGGCAGCTAGTGAGGAGTCAGGGTTTGGTGAGAGAAAGGACATGGAAAGTCAGTTCATAGCTGCCTGGCCAGGTGGCACTGCAGGGTCACTTGAAGTTGGTGACCAGGCTCTAAAGTGAGTGAGACTCGTCAGCACAGTGTCAGTTTTTTTGCACTCACCTTTAGCTACGTAACTACAGTGGTTCTCAGTAGGAGAGTTTGCTCCCTGCCCCAGGGACATGTAGTAACGTCTGAAGACCTATTTTGGAGTCCTGGTGTGGTGCTATAGGAGAAGCAGTGAAATGCTAACCACAAGGTGACAAGTTCAAACCCACCAACCGCTCCTCAGAAACCCTATCCGGGGTCTCTAGGAGTCAGAACCAACTCGACAGCACTTAACAATTGAGATAATTTGGGTTGTCACAATGGGGTAGGTGCTTCTGGCATCTAATGATGGCTTAGAGGCCACGCATGCTGCTAACCAGCCATCTTACAGCAGATGCACAGGGCAGCTCCTAGCCATAAAGAAGGTTCCCGTTCAATATTGTGTGTCTACATTGTTGTTGTTGTTAAAATGTCCTTGAGTTGGTTCTGACTCAGAGTGACCTGGACAGCATTTTCAAGGAGTGACTGGTGGGTCTGAACCTCTGACCTTGCAGTTAGCAATCCAGTTAGATTATCCTATAGCACCTCACCAAAACGCCTCAGAATAAATGTTGAATTTGAATCGGTAATGCTGGCCTGAGCACCTTGACCATACCCTAAAGAACAGAGCAGCAGGAGAAAAGTTCTTAGGAGCAGGATTCTTGGGCTAGGGAGCTCTACAAATGTTGTCCAGGCTCTTTCCGTGTGTTTAGTGTACCACTCTCCAATGCAGCGACCCCATTTCTAAAGTGCATTGTACACGTATAATAGACTATCCTGGGGGGACAGGTCTTAAACTGTTGTTAACTTCCTTCTCCTCCAAAACAGCAAAGCCATCCCAAGAACCCAAATGACAAACACCGGAGCAAAAAGTGCAAAGACCCCAAACCACGGGTGAAGAAGCTGAAATACCACCAGTACATTCCACCGGATCAGAAAGGTGAGAAGAATGAGCCGCAGATGGATTCCAAGTACGCCCGCCTGCTCCACCAGCAACAGCTGTTCCTGCAGCTGCAGATCCTGAGCCAGCAGCAGCAACAACAACAACAACAACAACGCTACAACTACCAGACCATCCTGCCTGCACCTCTCAAGTACGGGCTGGGCTCCTCTGTCTCCACACAGCGCAGCGCGTCCTTCTGTGAGCTTTTACCAAGAGACGCGTGACGAGAGGCCGTGGGCGCGCTCTGCACCTGCACGCAGCAACAAACAACAGTCTTACTGTGACTTGGGTGAAGGTGTAGAGAGCAGGCCCGCCGCTTCCCAGGCAGTAGGCCGTGCGTATTTGGCCTCATCCCACTAATTGCAGTCCCCTCAGTGTCGCGTCTCTGGTCCCACTTCCCCCTCAGCATCGCTTTTCCTTCTCTGTCCTCACAGCTCATCCGACAGTGCCCAGACTCAGCCTAGCCCCCGGGGCCCAGTTTCCAGGCCAGTCTCTGTCCCCCAAAGCAGGTAGTGAGCTTTTCAAGTCACAGATGCCTTTTCGCAGTTACACGCCCGGGATAATCTGCCAGTAATCCATTCCAAATAATACTAGTTGCTATGAGAGAAACATAGAAAAAACACTAGATTTGGTACACTGAAGGTGAAAAAACAAATGGGCATAAAAACTGGACAGGTTGAGGAAAGCTTTGTGAAAAGAGCAGGATGTTAAGGAGCCTTAACCAGGTGGTGGCACCCTGGTTAAGTGCTCAGCTGCTAACCAAAAGCTTGGTTAGTGGTTTGACCCCTCCAGCCACCACACAGGAGAAACCACCTCTCATAAAGATGCAAGCTAGGCAAACTCAGGGGCAGTTCTGCTTTGTCCTGTGGGGTCACTAGGAGCTGGAAAGGACCTCACCTCACTCTCAGATCCTGGGTCAGAACTTTAATATTAAAAAAAGAAAGAAAAAGGCAGAGTTTTCGTATCTGGAAGGGCTGAGGGAAGTGGTCCTTCAAACAAAGGAGATTAGTTAGAACACAAGCACAGATGAAGGATAGTGAGACGGAGAACCTGAACCAAGAACGTGATCACTTTTAGGCAAAGTGGGGTAGAGCCACTGCCTGGAGGAACTTGAAGTTGGACAAAAGAGCTGACTCTTGATGGGCCCGAGAGCACTAGGCCAGCGTGCTGGAGAGATAATTGGGCTCTGGTGTTGAAGGGGGGGAGGGGGGAGTCTGGGAACAGGAACAGTGGTTAGAGAGTTTGAAGTACATTCAGTATGAGATGACACCAAGGCACTGATAAGAGAAAGGAAGAAGTAGATATTTCAAAAGACAAAAGGTCTTGGTGCCAAGAACTGTGGAAAAAGAAAATGTTTCCAGAGTTTGGCCACCAACAACCAAGAGGTTGGCGGGCCACAAACCATCAAGACTACGTGACAGAGTCAAGAGAGTGTGAGTTCTGATGAGTTCTGAGACTGAACTCATAACCAGACAGCCATCCCATTATGTCGTCAAGGAAACGGCTCAAACCTGGGTAAAAAAGCAAAGACCCTGGCCTTCATTTCCCCCCATTTTCAGGGGAAAGTGGCATTTGCATTCAACTCTAGAGAAGGTATTATGTTGTTAGGTTGCCATCAACTTGATTCCAACTCATAGCAAGGCCACATACAGCAGAACAAAGCCTGCTAGTCCTGCGTCATCCTCAGAATGATTTCTGGGAGAGCCCCAACCCATCTTGCTAAGAGTCTTTCTCCTTGTTTCTGTTTATATAACATGTTAAAGTCTGTGAGAGAGAATCTTACCATCCTTTCTTCTCAGAAGTATTAAGGCTGTACTCCTTCCAACACAGAGTTATTTCTGCTGCTGCTGTTCAGTATTTTTGGTCAACTTCGTAAATCAAAAGCATTGATTTTTCTCCAGCTATCACATGCATCTGAGGTGACTGAAAATATTAGGTCTTGGGTCAGGCTCACTTTGTCCTCAAAGTGACATCTGTGCTCTTATTATTTTAAAAAGGTGTTTTGTAGCAGATTAGTCTAATGCAATAACATCATTTGATTTTTTTTTGACTGCTGCTTCCAAGGGTGATGCTATCACTCCAGTAAGATGAAAAGATAATAGAAACTAAGTCTCACTGTTGGTCTCTGAGTTTAATTAAGTGTGGGATCTTGAGGCGGCCCTGTGGGATAAGCACTGAACCACAAGGTCGTTTTGAACCACGGTTCACACTCACCAGCTGCTTCTCAGGAACCCTATACAGAGTCACTGTGAGTTGGAACTGACTCACTGACACTTAACAACAACAATAGAGAGTATGCTCTGTTCACTGCATGTAGACTGGGCATTCCTCTCTGGGTTCTTGTTTTGGGCCGTCAAGGAAGCGTGTCTAGGGTTTTCAAGAGCGGCTGCTTAGCAGTCTATGTCTTAGCCTACAGTGTCACACCAGGGCCCTCTTCATAGGTGACTCCTGTTTTCTTAGATCAGACCTGTGATAGAGGATAAATGAGTAAGACCCAGCTGCCTTCAAGTCACCTACAACTCAAGGCAAACCTGTGTGTGCCAGGGTAGGTAGAACAGGGCTCCGGGGGTTTTCAGTGGCTGACTTTTCCAAAGTAGACTGCCAAGATACAGCCCAGGGACTCCAGGGGAGAATAAAGACTTCTAAAATCTACTCTGTTTAAAAAAGAAAACCTGTTCACATGCTAATGATTATCAGTTCATTTTTTCATTTATGGCTCAGGTAGCTTGAGAAAGAGTAAACTTACTACTAATTCACATTCTATTCTGAAGTACTTCAGCCTAGATTGTTAGGGCATGTGGACAAAGAAAGGAGTCATTTTGTGACGTGTGGCTATTTTCAGCAGGCCTGAGTGAGCTCCTAACATTGGAAGGAAATCGGATGCGTAGGTGGACCGCCACACTCTGCAGTTTTGTCCAGGACTTAGGGAGGCATTCTTCCCTGGGCCTGCTCACAATAGTAGTGAGGCCTGTTATGAAGGCAGTGAGCCAGCACAGGCCTGCAGCCTTTACAGTCTTCTCCTCACTGTGTCTTTAGGAGGTTCCTGGTGGTGCAGTCACTAAGCGCTCAGCTTCAAGCTGAAAGGTGGGCCATGGGCTGTGTGTACCCACCAGCTTCTCCACAGGAGAAATATGGTGCAGTTCTGTTCTGGCCTCTGCAGCCACTATCGGTGGGAATCGACTTGAAGGCAGTGAGTTGGGTTTGGATGTTTTAATAGATGGGAAACTGTTCAACTGAAAGTCCCATCAAAGGATTGTTTTGTGGTACCTTCCCATTCGAGACTCTTTTCTGTAATGAATGAATTAGGCTATTTGGGCCAATGTGAGGAGTATGTCTGAAGTCTGTGGTAGCTGAACTTTTTTTCCTCCCATTTCATGTCTTTTGTCCTTCCATTCAGTCTAAAATGACCAAGCTGCCCACCCAAGGAAAACAACATGCACAGAGATCAGGAACCTAGAGGGAGAGAGAGAGAGCACTCATTCTTGTCTATCATTTTACCACACAAAAACAGAACTGGTCATCTTGGGAACAAGTACTATGTTATAAATTCTCAACCAAAAAGGCAGCCTGAATAGATGACTCAATTACATCATGACAATATCAGTGGGGGGTGATGTTGCCCCCAAGGAGGCAAAAGTTGATTCGAGGAGAATGAAAAAGTCTGACTCATTAGAAATATAAAGTACAGGTACCCATACACACATCAGTGGACAGTGGACGAGCACACAGTCTGTGGGGGGGGCGGGAGTTAGGGGGGAAATTCTCTAAAAAGCTTCCTGGGAAGAGAGTAATGAAAATAAGGTTGAGAAAGTGATTCAAATAATTTGCTTCCAGAATTCTAACATGACTCAAATGTTGAGTTTTATAAGGCAATGATAGAGCAAATATTTTATTTCATCCAAACATAGAGAAACTTCATTTCATATGCCTCAAGTATTTGAAATACAAAAGTTAGGCAGGTTTTCAAAGACCCTAAAATAAATGTCAAGAGTTCACTGTTGACAGAGTCAAAATTGGCTTTAATCACAGGCTTTGAAAACTCACCCACTGCTGCTCTCATCGCATGAGCGTTGTCGTTCCAGATCCCTGTTTCGGAGTAATGACAATAAAGCAGAATCCACAGTGGCATTCCCGACTGAGGATCCACTATCTTGCATGCCTGGAGTAGGCATCATCTGGGAGGAGCGTAGTGGTTACGAATCGGGCTGCGAACCTCAAGGTTAGCAGTTTGAAACTACCAGCTCTTCCATGGGAGAAAGACGAGACTTTCTGCTCCCTTAAAGAGTTATAGCCTCGGAAACCTGGGACAGGGTCATTATGAGTCAGAACTGATTCCATGGCACATCACCACCACCACCATCACCCAGAGAGAGAGCTGGAGAGGTTAGGGTGAGGCTTGGACCAAAGCAAGGAATGAAAGAGATTAGCATAAAGTCCCTAACTTTAGGGCTTGGCAAACCAGTCCATCAGCCTTTGCTTTCTTATTATTTTAATTAACTTTTTTCCATTGACGTATAACTTAGAAAATTATAGAAATGCTAACTGAAAACTGGTTCCAAAGTGAACATACTCCTTTCACAACCCCCCAAAAGAAGACACAGACCAGTATCAGAACCTCAGAAGCCTTCTTGTCCTCTCCCAGTGACTCTCCCGACTTTTGTCCCCATAGATTACTTTTACCTGTTTGTCAGTTTCATCCAAATGGAATCTGACAACAGTACATTGCTTCTGGATGCTTTTGTTTACCATTGTCTGTGAGATGTGTCTTTATTGTTGCAAATTATTATTGTAGTTGTTGATAAGTGCCCTCAAGTCAGTTCCCAGTCACAGCAGCCCTGTATAGGGTTTCCGAGGAACAGCTGGTAGGTTTGACTACCGACCTTGTGGTTCACAGTACAGTGCGTGTCCTACATCACCACACCAGGAGCCCATTGTTGGAAATTGTTGAGTGCCATCTAGTTGGTTCGACTCATAGCGATCCTGTGTGGGGTTTCTGAGAAGCAGCTAATGGGTTTGAACTGCGGACTTTGTGGTTTGCAGTACAGGGCTGCTAGTTAATTTCGTGTTGCTGCTTAGGGTTTATCCACCATTACACTCCTGATGGAAAACAAGGTAGCTTCCGGTTTGGGGCTGTCATGAATAAGGCTTTATAAGAAATGGAACCTTGGTGCTGGGGCGGGTTAAACATTGGACTGCTAGCCTGAAGGTTGGTCGATCAATCCCACCACCCACTCTAAAGGGAAAAAGATGAAACCATCTGTTTCTGTGGCTCTACAGAAGTCTCAACAACCTGAGAGCGGGTTTCTGTCCCATAGGGTCACTGAGTCAGAACTGACTTCCCAGGACTGTAATACAGTAACCTGTGCCTGTCGGGGCGCTTGCGTGTCTTCCTGTCGGGTGTGTAAGAATGGGATTGTTGGGTCAGGATGGGTGTGTTTCTCTTTGACACTGCTAACGTGTATCTAGTTTCTCTCAAACGTGAACGTGCTACCCAGAAGGAGTTGTAGCAGTGTGCACCTCCCCCCGCCGAGCAGTGTATGGGCCCCAAAGATCCAACGATAGGACATCACCCCTGTTACCATTACAGCCATCTGCTGAGGAGGCAGTGTTGTTTCACTGTGATTTAAATACTGAGTTCCTTGTACCTGATGGAGCTGGGTATTGGTTCTTATCGTTACTGACCATTTGGATATACTTTCCTGTGATATATCTTTTCAAGATTCCCCCACCCCCATTTATCCTTTGCAATTTTTTCTAAACTAATTTGCAAGACTCCTTCGTATATTCTAGCCATAAGGCCCTGGTCCAAAATATGTATTGCAGTAGTCTCAGAACATGAGACTCTCACTGACTTAGAAGACCCTGGTAATGTAGTGTTTGTGTCTTGTTTAAGAAAGCTTGACCTATCCAGAGGCCGTGAAGATGCTAGCCTGTGTTGTCTTGTAAAAGCTGTATTGGTTTTATAATTCATACTTAGATGTGGGGGGAGCCGTATGAGGTAGGGACCAGTGCATCCTGGGACTACCAGGCCGCTCAGCCATGCTGCGTAGTAATAGGGTCTGTTTCTCCATTCTCTCTTCGTTTCCATTTGTCTCTTTGTCCTTACATCAGCACCACACTACCTTGTTAGCTACAGCTTTTTAGTAATTTGGTTCACTGGTACTGTGACTCCTTCTATTTCCCTCTCCCCCCGCCAGGGCTCCGTGTCCCTCCATGGTCACATGCACGCCCATGCAAAGCTTAAATCCCCTTCCACACGAGCAAGCAGAGCCTGCAGGGATTTTTACTGGGGCCTCATTCCTCTGGCATCTTTACCACACCGAGTCTTCCAATCCATGACCATGGCAGTTTTTTCTCTTCATAAATTAATGGTCCAATTGGTAACCACAGGCAATGGCAAATCCAGATGGTGTTTTGTTGTAAACTCTAATTTCTCTTTTCTTCAAAGGCCACTCAATGATAAAAATAACAACAGTGGAAATCCAGCATTGAACAGTACCACGCCCAGCACACCAAGACCCAACACATCGGCCCCTGTGAGAAAGCCCGGGCCGCTGCCTTCCAGCCTGGATGATTTAAAGGTGACCATTCCAAGTAGAGCTTGTCCACCAGCCAGAGCCCAAAACAGACATGGGCTGCCAGCTCTCTCTAGATGTAGATCATTTTCAGTAGACATTCATGGTGACCTAAGAACTAATACCTTCCACGGAGGCGCACTTGGTTTTACTTTCATTACGATTGTTTTCAGGCAGGCAGTGCTGACCAAGTGCAGTGTACCATGACCACACCACTTCTCTTTGACCCAGAGGCTGTGGGTTTTTTGTTTTGTTTAGTTTTTTTTCCACTCTTCTGCTCAATGCCAACTCTGGGCGAAGCAAGAAAAGATAGTCATCAAGAAAATGAGCTCCAAGGTTAGCCTTCCTGAGTTGGTATCCCAGCTCAGCTGTTGTGTGGACAAGTGATTCTACTTCTCCCTGCCTCCGTTGACTCATCTGTCAAATGGGGATGGTAATAGAAACATTTGCCTCACGGGCCATCATGAAGGTCCATTGAGAGAGTGCTGGTTCTTCAGTAAGCATTGCTGTGGTCGTCATTTTGTCCTTGACACATACCCTCAAGAAACCTCACTCTGTCGCTGGCCTCTCAAAGCTCTTCAGGTCACTAGTGGTGTGCCCTTATGTTAAAAAAGAGAAAAAACTGTCTCTTCCGATATATCAGCCCCAGGTACCTTCCCTGCCCCCGTAGCCTCCTTTAAGATTTGTCAGAATGTTGCTGTTCCTAAGCCAAGAGCTGATTTGTTTGTGGTGTTCCTAGGTCTCAGAACTGAAGACAGAACTGAAGCTGAGGGGTCTGCCAGTGTCGGGCACCAAACCTGACCTCATCGAGCGCCTGAAACCCTACCAAGAAATGAGCAGCAGCAGTGTTGCCGCGGGCAGCATTGTGGCAGTGTCTACCCCGGCCATCATCACCAGCAACCCAGAAGTCACCATGGCCTTGCCGGTCACCACACTACACAACTCAGTGACTAGCTCAGCCTCCACATTCAAGGCAGAACTGACATCGGCCACAGCCAGCAATGCAGCCCACGTCGAGAGCACCGGTTCCCCTCTGCCCATCTCACCGTCTCCATCCGACCAGTCCAGTCTCAGTACCGAGGACACAAACATGGCAGACACATTCACGGAGATCATGAACTTGATGTCACCTTCGCAGTTCCTGTGCGCATCGCCCTTGCGAGTGACAAGTACAGAGGAGAGTCTTAGTCCCACTGGCAGCACTCTGTCCAGTCTGGAGCTGGATGCCGCGGAAAAGGACCGCAAGCTGCAAGAGAAGGAGAAGCAGATCGAAGAGCTCAAGAAGAGACTGGAGCAAGAGCAGAAGCTGGTGGAAGTCCTGAAGATGCAACTGGAGGTGGAAAAACGAGGGCAGCAGCTACAGCCTCCGCGGCCACCGGAAGGCCAGCCCAGCGGGCCAGCCAACCCTGCCCTTAAGTCAGAGCAGAAACCCGGCGGGGTGGTTCCTGCCGTCAAAGACGAGGCCTTATTGGCCGACTGCTCCAGCTCTGGGCAACCCATCCCCGTTGCCAGCCGTCCTGTGGGCCAGCCTGTGTCCACGAGTGGCCAGACCCTGCTGTCCAAGAAGGCTGTTGTTGTCAAGCAGGAGGTCCCGGTGGCCCCAGCAGGGCAGCAGAGCCTCGTGCCACGGCTGTTTGTGAGTGCCCAGGGACAGCCGCCACCCGCTGTGGTCGCCCAGCCACAGACGTTGCTGACCACACCGACTGCTCAGCTGCTGCTCCCGCTGTCCATCCAGGGCTCGAGTGTCGCCTCAGTGCAGCTCCCAGCAGGCAGCCTGCAGCTCCAGGTGGGCAGTGGGCACTCACTGGGTTCTCCTGCCATGTGGCTAGCCAATGTTGTTTCTGGGATGTCAGCTCAGACGTCGGGGCTCGTCCATTCCTTTTACTTCCTAGTAAACCCACTGCCATGGAGCCAATTCCAGCTCATAGCACAGGGTAGACCTGCCCCATAGGGTTTCCGGGGCTGTAAATCTCTAGGGAAGCAACTGCCTCATCTTTATCCCGTGAAGCAGCTGGTAGATTTGAACCACCAATCTTTTGATCAGCAGCCCAGTGGTTAAGCCACCCTGCCACCATGGCTCCTGTACATGAGTTGTTGCTGTCAAGTCGATTCCCAGTCTTAGCAACCCTGTATAGAGATTCCAAGGGGCAGCTCGTGGGTTTGAACCACTGACCTTGTAGTTAGCAGTTCAGTGCTGATCCTAGAGCACCATACCAGGGGTTCATAATTATACCTGTTGTTAAGTGTCATCAAGTCAGTTCCGACTCTTAGTGACCCTGTTTATAAGGTCTCTGAGGAGTGGCTGGTGAATTTGAACCACCAAACTTATGATTCAAACCAGTGTTGTGGTCCAGCGCATTAACCCACAGCCCCACACCAGGACTCCAGGGCACATGTAGACCTTGTAAAATACCAGAGATGTGGCCACCGTAATAGCTGTTGTTGTTAGGTCCTTTTTGGTATGTAAGACCACACCGAGTACTTTACAGGACTTCACTCCACGCCACTCGCTCGTCCCCAAAAAGAAGGAGCCCCAGTAATGCAGTGTGTTAAGCAGTGAGCTGCTAACTGAAAAGTTGGTGGTTCAAACCCACCAGCTGCTCCACAGGATGAAGTTGTAACAGTCTCAGCACCTGTTACCTGTCAAGTGGTTTTGAGTCTACTTAATGGCAAAGGGTTTGGTTTTTGGGTTTTCCCTAGAAGATCCAAAGGAAAGACCCATTTGTAGACACAGAAACTGAGGCTTAGAAAGGTTTTGTCGTGTGCCCCAGGACACAGCTAGCATGTCACAAAGCTTTCATTTAAACCCAGGACTTCAGACTCCAGGCCCAAACATGGTTTTTAACAGACACCACCATTGTGAAGAGCCCTAAGCTAAGGAAAAAGTGGACTTCCAGTGTAGGATCAGGGGTTACTGAGAGATGATGAAAGGGTGCACCCGTAGTTCCCTTCTCTGCCGACATACCTACGTGTTGATTACCCTCCGTCGAGTTTTACCAGCTGTGGACTCCCATGTGGGCCAGTGCCGCTCAGCCTTGACTGCCCAAACACCGTGACCAGTAGAGAGGGATCCCCCTGGGCCAGGAGGTACGACCTGAGGGCCCGTGACAGGCACAGGAAGAATTCTCCTCTTCCAGTTTGGACTCGAAAGTTCCAAATTCTTCAAATACATTTTTTCATATACAAGTAGATATCAATTTGAGTTCTGGTGTGGTGCTGTAGGATAAGAACTGGACTGTTAACCACAAGGTCGGTGGTTCAAACCACCAATCACTCCTCTGAAACCCTATACAGGGTCGCTATGAGCTGAAACCAACTCAACAGCACTTAACAGCAACATGTATCAGTCTGGAGTCTATATAGGCTTCCTGGAGCTGTACATCTTTGCGGGAGCAGAAAGCCTTCATTTTCTCCCACCAGGCAGCTACTGGACTGAAGCTGCTGACACCTCGTGGCTCAGTCGGTGTCTACCCTACGGAGCCACCAAGCACCACAGCCAAAGTCTGATTCCAACAATTAAATGGATTCTTTTCCTTCCCCTCCTAGACGCCGCCACAAGCAGTAACGCAGCCTCCAGCTCAGCTAGCTACTGCTGCCCTGTCCTCGGGCCTGGCCCAGCCAACACCTCAGCCACAAGACCCTTTCCCTCGGCATGTGCTCAGCCAGCCACAGCGAGTCAGGAAGGTCTGTGAACACCACCCACTGCATGTCTGCAGGAACACTGGGTGGGGCACCAGGGGCTGCCAAGCTGTCCCCGTGATTTGGGGGGTGGGGGGAGGACAAGGGCTCCTTCTTACAGAAAGAGTTCACCCAACTAAAACATCTCAAGATTGACATTGAAATTTAAAGAGACAGTATAGACATAAAACCAAACGGCCACCACTCGTCTGTCTGTCGTGCTGTGGTGGTTT